GAATACAGTAACAAAATTGTTGTCTGATTCACAGCACTGTCCCTGACAACTGCTAAAAATAATATTCCTGCAATTAACTCTTAAGATGGGGTGGACAGAGAATCTACCTTACTATTATTTACCAAATAAACAGTAGAGCAAGATGTTCTCTCTCTCCACCAGTATTCTGAATAAAGCTGACCGAGAATGCTCAGTGGTTATGAAGAGGTACTGCTCCAGTCAATGTTATAAGAGGTTGAAAGAGGGATGTCGTAGGCAGCTAGATCTAATGATGCAAATGGCTTTCTCCTTTATTTTGGCTGGTGCAAAATGACAGTCCTCGTAAATTTTGAAGGATGGGATCTGCGGTCCTGCTTGGCAGCTGATGTTGTGAAGCAGAATAGCTTGCTAGTTCTATGTTCCGCACCGTCTTCAGAGGTAACCTGAGTAATCCCCCTGGAGTTGCTCAAAATTCAGATCTGAGTCCATTGTCCAGAAATATTTGAATGAGCTGCAATATTTGAAGCTGCTTTGACTGTTGATATTACTTTGATTTTTTTGTTGATATTACTGATTTACAGGGCAATGCTATCAGTGTAGCCACTGCCTCCATTTGACTGGTATTCCAGAAAGGTAATCGGTCACCTGAAATGTTGTAGAATAACTCTGTGCCAAAGGCTCATGTTGTCACTGAATATGACCCTTAATTATTGATGAGTCTACAACTCAGTAAGTATTAATGGAGAAGGATCTTTTAGTGAGAGCAGTGAAGCTGGAAGAAGGAGGAATATATAATGAAAGGAAATGTGTGTGTTTAGAATATGATGGAGGAAAGATTTGTTAAGGCTTGAGAAAATAATGCTCCATCTGCTTTTGTGGAACGCAGAATTAACATTTCCAAAGTTTTTTCCACTGTAATTGTTTCTGTAAGGGCAGGATTATAGAAGCAATTAGGAATACTTGAAATCAGTTGAAAGGTAGAACTGTGTGTGTATTTAGTATTTAAAAAAATGAAAGATCTGTAGACACAATACAGGGGTTACGTGTGTCATAGTCCTTCCATTGCCTAGGGCTTTTGAAAGTTTTTTCTACACAAATACTTTGTTCTAAACTATACAGGCATATTTCATCCCTTATAGTGCTTTTATCTGCCAGAAAGTCCAAACAGAAACCCCCCAAAATAGACCCAGCAAGGCCATACAAACGCAACTGATTGGGTCCATATAGCACCATACACACATGTACTGTTACTTTCTCTTAAAAAAATTACTAGCACCAAACAAATAACTTTGCCAAAGTTGGCAAAGTTATTTCCATATATGTGAATATATTTCAAGTGACAGAAAAAGATAGGAATTTCATTGTTCTTGTCTCCTAATATGTTGTCTGGTTCTTTGATTTGTTTAGTAAAAGAGAATTAGTGTTTTATTATCATCTGAATTAAAGATATACACACTGCACAATTACTTGGAGCTTTATCTGTTAGTGATCAATCTTAAATTAAGATGGAGATTATGTATATTGCTGTTGATAACTAAGGCTGAGCATCTAATGTCATATTTCCATATGTTCTTGATATAAAAATCAGTATGCGTTTTGTTTGAAAATCAGTCATACGGTAGAGGACTATGTGGGTATCATAGACTGTTAAATTGACAGCCTAAATCATTAAAACCATCTACTTTTCCTGATATTTTTTTTTCCCCCAGATAATCTTATATCATACACATAAAGCAACAGTGCAGTAAAAAAAATGTTGCAGCTTTGGGTAACAACACATTACCTCAGAATTTGGGGTTTTTCTTTTATCTCCCAGGATCAAAAAAATGCTGCAAATCAGCAAAAGTATGTCATTATTGATCAGTTATTAAGTAGATAGGATTTTTTTCAAAAAGCAGCATTTTGATTTAGCAGCCTGACTTGGCTTGACATAGCACTTTTTTTTGCGTTAATGTTTATGTGGAGATTTCATGATCACAAATTGCAGGCCCCAGTGCTAAAAGAGCTCTGACAGCTGTCATTCGTGCTTCCCAGAAATGCGGATATGAAGTTGATACATGCATATTCGCAGATCCTCAACAGATGCAAGTCCCCTTTCTTCAGTGAAGTGATGCTTTTTTTTTTTATGCCCAGGGAAAATTAGAGAGCTTGTGTTGTGGGGCACTGGGCCCCTCTGTTCCTGAGTATTTTCGCCTTTACTTCCACTGTCAGTCTGTCCCTCAAAACTTTTCTTCCACAAGCTACATTTTTGTTTTCAATCTCAGCTTTTTTCTCCTTTGACCTGTAAGGAGGGCTAAACCTCATTTGTAACTCTTTCCTCTGCCACAGATCGCCAAATTGAATCCATTTGAACTACCTTCCTGCTCATATCTGTTTTCTGAAAGATTTTCATCTCTGCCTGAATGGATGCATTCTCAGAATTCAGCCCAAGGAACTGGTTTGTCATGTAGCATTTGGGGGATCATATGTTAAAAAATACATAAGCAATAAGTCTCTTTATGTGATTCACAACAGTGGCAGTGCATATTAGCCTCTGAATCAATTATAGATTTCATCAGTTCCACTTTATACCTGCTACTGAATTTGTTTTAAAATAGCTCTTATTTCATAAATGTATAAGGGGTATGATAATTTGTCATTTCACTAATTTTATCTGTCTCCAGAAGTGAGATCCAGCTTGAGTTATTAAAAGTACAAGTGTTTCATTAATAAAAGCACATTTATTCCTAGCAGCTTGACAAAATTAGGGTCTTCTCTGAACCCTTACTCAGGCTTCAAGCCTTTATGCTTTAGTATATGTGAAAAAAGCTTCAGAATTATTCCTATGCAATGTTAAAATTTTTGAGAGATTAATCTCTCAAAGCTTTTTCTTAGGCATGGGGGTGTGTAATGAGGATTATAATGATATTTTCACAAAAAATAGCAATCTAAAGTGTAAGTGTTAAAAATAGTCAAAAGTTCAGGTAGGTGATATTTCATAATGGCAAGTTCCCCCTTAAGATCTATCAGGTAAATGATGCACATATTTCAAGCTGTCTTAGTAGGTACTTTTACAGAACAACCTGGTGGATATCTATTGGAAAAGGAGAAAAGGAAGAGTATAAAAAAAAGTTTGACACCCTCCTTCCTCCCAGATTTTTTTTGTTTTCTTTTTTTACACTGCAACAATGAACTAAATATCTCTAAGTATATTCTTAGGATGAAGTTTTACAGTAGTGCTTGGTATCAACCCTTGAGCTGTTTTCCGTTCCCACAGTTTTATGTCAGAGATTTGGAAGAAGGATTTCTACTGCCTATGATAGCACGTTTCCCATTATTCAAATAAAAGCAGAGTTTATTGGATCCTAAAGGCAAGATCTTCTTATTTATGTTGGTGAGATAACAGCAGAAATTGGTCTGAAAACCCAAGGGTATTTTTGGCCTGTATTTTTGTGTATTATCCCCAAATATTTTTTTTAGTAAACAAAATAGAAAACCTCCATTATTCCTGGTATAACGTGGGAAGGCTGCATTAACTTTTTCAGTATTTGGAAAAAGTTTGGGGTGAAGGGATTATAGATCACTTGATCTAGCTTTTTTACTGGGAAGGCTGGTATGAATGATATTAAGAACCAAAAATACAGGATACATAGATACATTTGTTATAGTGAAGCATTGGTAGGTGTCAGCATGGCTTTGGAAATTACATCTCAGAAATCTGTTAGAGTTCTCTGAAGATCTTGCTGAGGATTTGATCAAGGGAGGTTCATAAATGTGGTATACTTGGATTTTCCATAAATACTTCTTAAGGGCATTTGACAAAAGGTCTCAAAGAAGTGAAACTGTCGTGAATGGAAAGGAATTTACCTTGTGAATTTAAAAACTGGTGAAATGATAGGAATAAAATGTCGCTTTCAGAACAAAGAAATTATTATCTAAGTTCCACAGGGATCTGTGCTGGGACCTAAGTTATTAAGATGAACTTGGAAACTGGGAAAAAGAATGAAGTGGATGAGTTTGCTGATCATAATAATTAGTCAGGGCAGTAAAAACGAAGGTTATGTGTGAAGAATTACAGGAAAAGAATTCCAGTTGCAGCAGTTGACTTGACAGTGAAGTGGCAGATGAATGTGAAGTAATGCACATGAGAAAAAATGGTCCTAATTATGCACTGGTAATAATGGGTATAAACAAGTTGTTAGTGCTCAGGAAAGAAATCTTGGAGCCACAGTGGGCAGTTTTCTGGAAATCTCTGTGTAGTAGTGCTAAAAACGCTACTCAAATGAAAAGAATACAAAACCAACCAGAAAACACTTACATGCCATTGTACACCTCCATTGGATACCGGTTTCTTCAGTACTCATGCTCCAGCTCAAAAGGTGTTCTGAGAGATGGTAAATGTGATAAAAGAGATGGAATGACATCTGTATGAGGAATGAGTCAATAGAGTAGGAGTCTTCAGCTTTACGGGTAAAATATGATGTAATAGGGAGTCTATAATACCACAGTTGGTTTAGAGAAGGTAAATGTGTAGTCAGTGTTTACTTTTAATCACAGCATTAGAATTAGAAGCATCAAATGAAATAAAGTAAGGTATTTTAGACCCAAAAATATTTTTTTTTCACACAATGCATAATTAAATTTTGGAATTCATTGACACAAGAGATTGTGGGTGCCAAAGGTTTGCATATGTTAAAAAAATTAATTAGTCATGGAAATAAAACTCCATGGATTGTTAACAAGTACAAGGATCTCTTCTCAAAGAAATCCTGAGCCACAGGCTAAGTATAGGAGAGTGTAATAGGAGAATCTTCTTATTTTCTTTTTATTAAGAAACCCCTACTAGTTGTATAACATGTTACTGAACCAGATGGACTTTTAGTCTGAAGCCGTATGTCCATACTTAAATGAAGTATGCTAGTTTATATCTGAAGATTTGGCTGCAAAGTCTGAGTTATCTCTGTATTTTTCATTTATATAACATATAATCTTCACCTATATCCTTCATAGAAACTACTTATTATTTTTATTCCTCATAACAGTGGTACCTAACTGGTCACTTCAAGTGGGGATACAACAGTGCGGATATGGGACTTTTCAAAACATGGCTGCATTCTGGCACATGGTCATGACATTCACATGATGATTTTGTGGCTTCTGCCATGAAAGTTTCTGTTGTAAATTTGTGTTGTCTTTACAACACAAGTGAAATCTAGGATGTTAACAGGTATGGAGTTACTGGAGATTCTTATTAGCTGATTGATAGCCTTACTTAATAAACACTGGTTTATGTTTTAACGCAGTGAGAGAGAGATGTCTAGCATCAATTAGTGGACTTCGCTTTAAGAACACAGATAAATTAAAGAGAGTGGTGCAAAAAACAGGCTTTGATGTGATTTACTAGATAAAGGCTTTACTATATAGAGAAGGACTTAATCTAAGGCAGTGCCGGAAAAAAGCATTTGTTTTTATTTAGCATCTGTTTTACTGTGGGTTTTGGTTTGGGTTGGTTTTTTTTTTTGAGGCCAGAGCTTTGTGAAACTTCAATACGTAATTAAAATAAGCAACTGAACAAAAATGTAAGTTTTCTATATAGTATTTCTAGCTCATGAGTATACAACACGCTTTAAGGCTGGACAGGTGGAAATTGATTTTATTCATTATATATGGTTTGGCAAGGTAACTTCTGATTAATAAATCAACGTATATGTCTTCATTTTCTTTATTATCCAGGCAAATGCATTTTTATGAAGATGCTTCTAGAATACTAGTATATTCCTGCTTACCAATTAATTATTAGTTCCTCAACTTCCTTCAGTTATATTTGAGGTGACATATTTTGATTAATTTACACCTTAAAGGAATGGAATGGATTTTTTTTTTCCAAACTGTTCCTTCGAGACTCCTGAATAACTTAGGAATAGTGTTACTGACACCACTGTACTGTACTAGGTCTGATTTTTAACAACGGAATATCATCAATCTGCAGACGAGTCTCCAGTCTCATTTGTGTTTTCCCTGGTTCTTTACTCTCCAGTCCTAATGGATTTTTCCATTTCCTCTCAGTCTTTTTCTTCCTTTGCATTTGAATGAGGTGAAATACACCTTCAAGCTTGTTGGCCACTGCAGGGAAGGAAGCTTCACTGAAAAAGCAGGGGAGGCTTTCTTCTTTCCTTCCTTTTGCCTAGATCACTCCCAGTCTGCTGCAATTAGTGAGCCCTGCAATTGAGACCCAGAGACTTATTTGGGAGCATGATTGGTGAAGCTGGAGCGTTGAGAGGTTTTGTTGTAAAAGTGAAGTACTTCTCTGATAGACATGTATGAGTTCAGATTTTTCAAAATGTTGTAATTCAGCCAGATTTTTTGAGAGCTAATTAGAACTCTGTCAGTAACAGGTTTTCAGTCTTGCTTTCAAATCATGAATTGAGGAAGCACTAAATAATAATAAAAACATTGTTTTCCAAATGAGATGAGCAATGTGTCCTTTCATGAAATATTCAGAATTATTTTGGCTAAGCTGAGAGCAGCTACTTAAAAGCTTGAAAAAAATATTCAATTTTTATAAAATCATAGACAAAGCAGTTAAAGTTTGGCAAAGTACAAGACACCCAAGAAGTGTGTTTTATAGCATAAATTGTCAGCCAGTTCTGATAACAGATTATGCTTCCACCATTACTACCAATAATAAGAATTAATGGTCGGTGTTTTGCTTAAAAATTAAAACACCAGAAATCTATTGTATTGTTGCCTCTTTTCTTAACCTGTTGTAGGATTTTAATACTTTGATCATCCTTTATGGCATATTCATGACCTTTAAGAAATCCTTTAAGAAATTATACTAAGAATAGCTTTAATTTCATGTCAGAAGAGTTTTGAATTTGCATAGACAAAGGTTTTGTTTAGACACTTTAAAATATCTTCTCCACCGAGGAAGCTTTTGTAGTCAGAACAATCAAAGCAAATCTTCATCACCAACCCATGCCTCCCACTCACACTCATTACCAACTCTCATTTCTACCTTCAGTGTATCTGATGTGCATTTTGCATTTGAAAATAAGAGAGCACGGAGCACAGCCATGATGTGAAAGGCTAGTTATCAGCATATAATTATTGAAACCTTAAGTCATGCAAAAATCTCAGTGGCTAAAGGGAGCAGGAGGTGGCACAAAAATGTGGTGTAGTATGCTTAAAATAGGAGCATTCAGAGTATGAAATAAAAAAGCCTCACTTGGAGACCTCACTGGTGGACTATCAGTCTGTTCACAATAAAAGCTCATGCGTTCATTTACGTTGCATTAGCTAAGTCCAAAAGACAACTGAGTTCTATTTAGCTAGTCTGTTTAGATGAGTTCGTAAGATGTTTTGTAGAAGTGGCCGTGGTGTATGCACTTAGTGTAAAATAAGTATAATGGAAAAATTAGGTGTTCTTGAAGAGCTTCTGTAAAAAGGGATTTGAAGACAACAAGACATGGCTTTTTCAAGCTTAAGACATCCCACCTAAGGACCTAACTCTGCAGAAGATTCAGCTGCAATTGATCCTTATGCCCATGTTGACTAATTCAAGTGAAAAATCAACCCATGCAGAATATAGGTCAAGATGTGGAAATAAGGGAAATGTACCGATAAGTTAATCAGGGTGGTAATTCCAGTCGGGACTGTTAATTTGGTGATGCTTATATACAGAAATGCTATACAAAAGAACCTGCAGTGTATTTTGGCTTGGCAGTATGTATTTCTATTGCCAAGCTAATTGGCTGAGTTTGGCAACACTCATCCTAGACGTTTCCCAGGGTATCACCTGTAAATTTGTTATGTGCCTGGAGTTCTAATATATGAATGAAGCCAGCTGTACTTGGTACTATATAAATAAGTAACCTCCTTCAGACTCCTTTACAGTCTGGGTGTGTGCAACAAAATGGGAAGGTGGAACAGGCTTTTCGCAAGGGTTTTCAATGCTTATAAAGTGGGGTTTTTTTCCCATCCTCACAGAATATGTGCTTATCTAGTTGTCATCTTTAGCATTCTCCCTCTCCAGGTGCCTGCCAGTTGACACAAGGTCTGAACAGGAGACAGAGCATAAGATAACATACTTGTGGTAGGATAATAATCAGTGATAGCAGTTATTCTGCTTAGTCGAATGATTTATTCTTTCCACTAATAAGGAATTAACATTTTATAAATAAGAGCTGTCTCTCTTCCTTAATATTACATATTTGGATGGATGCCTGCTTTCAAATTGAATGGTCCTGGAAAGCAGTATATTGTGGAGACAGTGGGAGGGGGGAAGAAAGCAAGATGAATATCAAAGCTGTCACTGCCACCTTTTTAAAAGAGATATGTTGTAAATAAATGCTACAGATAGAAATACATACATTTCTGTAATGGGTGGCAGTCATCTTTTTATTTCCAGACTTCAAAAAGCTGCTTTTATATATTAGAAACATACTTTTTTATCTATAAACATAGCTTTTGAAATACCTACAACAGAGTTCTCTGAGGTTAAAAACTTGGTATCAAGAAAGTGGGGAGGCTGTTTGCTATCTTTCAACACCAAAACCCAAGGGGCAGCTTTCACAATCATCAAATCCATTATTGGACTCCAAAGAATGTGATGTGCAACATCTCTTAAATAGGAAAAGGTTACCAACATTTTTAATAAATTATGTAATTCTTTGCCAATAATAAGAAAATTCAGACTGCTAATTTTTTTACTTTTGTTTTATTAGATGGTGAAACTACTGCCAAATTTCTTTTAATTTTTTTATTTTTTTGCAATAGATATTTTTTACAAGCATTTTTCTTTCATGTATGTTGGAAGTGTCCATCATATGCCTAGTCACAAATGTCAGTCCTACCAGGAGGATAATGTGAGGTAGCTTTGTAGTTAACAATGTTTTTCTCCTTGACAACTTGTGTGCTATCTATTTACAGATACGATCTGAGTTTAAAAAACAAAACAGAAAACAAATAAACAAAAATTCAAGCACCTTCTTCTTCCCTGAAGACACAAACACATACTGAGATGCAACCATGATCCAAATTACTGAAGGATTTGAGGGAGGTTGGGTTCTGGTGTTGGAACTTCTTGATGCTTTCTGCTGGGAGAATTTGCCGCTTTTAAAGGAAACTAAAAGAGAATGGCATAACACCAGCGGAGGGGGAAGGGGGGGGAAAGGAGGGGCAGGGGCAGGAGGGAGATAACTAATGTACCTGTCACAGTTAGGAAAAAAAAACCAAAACAAAACCAGCAAAACACAGACATATCTGCTGTCTTCAAGCTTACCCCATCTTCTTAATGATTATAGGAAGCAACTTGAACATGAACTGGGGGAATAAAGGAAGAGGCTTATAATTTGTGAACAGGTTTTTATTCAGCAGCATAGCTCAGATCGAAAATATATAGCCAGCCATGTTAATAGCTCAGCAAACAGTTCGAGGATTGTTTTCTCAGACCATAAATTCAGGACTGTCAAAGTCATTTTGGCAGGATTAATTTCAATTATCCAACGGTAAATATCGTCAGAGATTTACAGCCTGATCTCTGATATGCAAATCAAACTCAACATCATATATCTCATGTAAACACAGGCGGTTATTTAGTTTTGCAAGTATATGCTGTAAACTGTATGTTTAATGCAAACATTGTTATTTATGCTTTAAGTTTGAGAAGTTATTTGCACCAAAGTCAGAACATTCCGACCTTTTTTTTCTCCAGTTTATCCATTAGCTAGTCATTGGACCAGTTCTTCATTTTTCCCTGGTTTGTTTGGGTAGTGAAAAATATTAGCAGAATTAGGCCATGGAGAAATGCAGTTCTGTACTGTCTTGTAGGAGACCTCAGGGTGAATAAATGTTTGCAAACTGGAGCCATTGTTCCTTTTGTTTACTGTTTTTTAATCCATCACTTATTTGTTTTCCTTTTCATTTAACACAGTAACTTTTGTCTAGCTCCCTGAAATTTATCCCACAATCAAAATTTTATTGTAAAATTCTGAAAAATGTAATGGTTTACATCAATCCTCAGTCATTACTAGTATCATTTGGTGCATGTGTTCAGGTGCAAATGGCAAAAGTAACTGTCATGATTGCTGATGACACAAAACTGGGAGGAGTGGCTG